GCGGCCGCTGCGGGAGCCGGGCCAGAGGGAGACCCGCCTCCCTCCCCTCTCTTGTCTTCCTCGCCTTAGCTGACGGCCGCGAGCTCGTGCTGCTACCCCCGCGAGGGCTGGAGGTACTCCCGCGAGCACAACGCCATCCTCGGGCCCTTCGGTGAGCTCATGACCGAGGCCGATATCCTCCGCATTGAGCAGCAAATTGAGAACCTGCAGGTTTTGCACAAGGCGCAGAAGCTGGAGGCGCGCCTGGAGCAGCTGGAGCTGGAGCTGGAACAGCTGCTGCCCATCTCGGCCGCCCTGTCGGCGCCGCGCTTCACCGTCGACCCGCGCCGCATGCACGGCCGCGCGGCCAACCTGCCTGCCTGGTGCAGCAAGATCTCCACGCTGCTCAAGAGCATGTCCACACTGCTGGCCGCACTGGGCGGACGGCCCGCGCACCTGGCCGAGCTCCTGGCCGCCGACACGGGTCAGCCGCTGGCGCCGCTGCCCGACGCGCCCTGGCGCCCAGGTCCTCTGTGTATGGGCCGCTCGCACTCGCTCAGCTGGTGCCGCGAGGCCGTGGCGCGCGAGATCCTCGAGTGCGGCGTCTCGGTGCGGCACCTCCGTGCAGTCTATGAGCTGCGCGCCCAGGGACCGGAGCCTGCCCGTGGCCCGCGAAACAAGCTCCCACGGCCTGCCGGCGCCCCGGGCCGCGAGCCCATTCTCGAGGAGGACTACGTGGCGGCCGGACCCGGCGAGCCCCGCGAAGCCGCTAACGGCCTGCCTGCCCCCGAGGAGCCTCCGGGCGCCCTGGGTCGGCCCGAGGCGTCAGGACGCCAGGCGGCGCCACCCGAGCCCGAGCAGCTAGCGCGCAGGCCGCCGCTCTCCACCGAGGTGTGCGGCGTCCAGGACTACATCGACATGCGCAAGGAGCGCATCGTCTACCTCTTCCTGGACCACTGGCGCAGGTGGGCCTTCCGCGGCCCCGGGCGCCACGCCCAGGCGCGCCTGCGCAGACTGCTGCCCCGCGTGGTGGCCGGCGGCGCTTGCGCGCGGCCCGAGGCTGCCGACGGCCCCCAGCCTACGGTCGCTGACGGCCCCGACCAGAGGCTGCTGCGCCTGCTGAAACAAAGGCAGCGGGTGGGCAAGCTGCTGGGCCACTGGCAGAGCCTGTTACAGCAGGTCCCGGCGCAGCAGCTGCGCGTCCCAGGCCTGGCACACGGCCTGTACTGGCCAGAGCACTTCCTGCCGCCCCTCGACGGCGGCGCGCCCCCGCGCTACGACAGCCTCACCCTTGACCTCTTCATGCTCGGCTACTTCCAGCTGCTCGAGATGGGCCTGAGTCGCGAGGAGCGCAAGTTCCGCCACCTGCTGTGCTACGAGATGTTCGACAGGCTGGGCAGCCACCCATGGGAGCTCATCCGCCTCTTCCACCGCGTGGTGCTGGAGGAGGTGGAGGCCGGCCGGCGCGGCTGGAGCGATGGCTTCGAAGACCTCAGGCTCCAGTTCTTCGGAGATAGCCCAGAGGCTGAGCCGGCCCGGGAAGAAGAGGTGGAGAAGGCGCAAGACGAGGAGAGGGAGCCGGGGGAGGAAGCCGCTACAGCCCACACGGAGGACTGGCCAGAGGGGCAGCCCCCAGCACCTGCAGCACAGCCCCCACCCCCGCCAGCCGCGCCTCCACCGACATCGGACCCTCCTAGTTCCGAAGCCCCAGCGGAAGACACCCTGGAGCTGGTGTCTGAGATGGGTGAGTTCAGCAACGAGGACATATGCCGCTACATCGACCGCAGCTTCTCCTTCTGGAAGGAGAAGGAGGCAGAGCTTTTTGACATCTGAGCAGCAGAATTAGGAATTTACCCTCAAGCATCATAACATGGGCGTGGATGCCTGTCTGATGTCCTCCAGAGGCCAGAAGCGGGCAGGAAGAACCCAGGACGGGTGGCCTTAGGAAGCCCAGTGTGCCTAGGACCAGGCTGCCACAGTCTTGGAGGCCCTATCATGGCCGAATGTGGGGGCGCTGGCCAGAAGGGGCAGGATATGGCACAGGGCACACCGGGTGTCCCCCACTGGTCCTACAGACTTTGTCTGCCTCTACCTGGAGCCAGTGGAAGCAGCAGCCTCTCTGAAGGACTGTGGGCCTTCCATGGGGCAGTGTGGCTCTTTGGTTTTCCACTGACGTTCACAGACACCTCTTTAGCGGAGATCAAGGGAGCCACGTGTGCGGTGTTCTGTGCGACATGTTCTCCGTTGTAACATCCAAGTAATAAAACTCTTTGCTGTAAGCTGCCTGCTGATGCCTCCACCTGCCATGTCACTGTGGTGGCACAATTGTAAAGCTGGTGTCTATTCCATTTGGGGATAGGACAGGCCTGGGCCAGAAGGTCCTACATAGTGGGGGCAGCTTGAGCCTCACTGAGCAGGCAGAATCTGTGGGTGCCCAGGTGTGGGTCTGCCCAGATATTCTGGCTCATGGGCCCAGGGTCATCTGCCTGCCTGCCCCTGTGGGGAACCTGATTCTCTGCTCTCCTACATCCCCTACACTCAGTTCTGACCTCTCGCAGTGCTTCTAGGACATAGGACCTGAGTTATGAGGGGGTGGGGAACAGAAGTCCCCTTTGGAGGGGACTGTGCCCAGGCACCTTCATCCATTTGCCCATGAAGGCATCAACTCTACCTATGTCTTGTTGTCCCTGACTCATGCAAGACCCCCAGGTCGGGGGAGCACACCCTCTGGCCCCCTACCTCCCAGCCCATAGTGGCCCTGAAGCTTTGTGCTTGTGTTTCAGGAGAAGGAGGAGGAGGACCGGCTGGCCAGCTTGCCTGCCTGGAGGCGAGACCTCCTGCGGAAGAAGCTAGAAGAGGAAAGGTGAGCTGGGGTTCCAGAAGATGTGGGGCCTGGCAGGGAGTCTTGTGTCCCTGAAGCAGTGGCTCCAAGTAACGCTGCCTCTTTTTCCTTCTAGGGAGCAGAAGCGGTGAGTGGGGCTGAGCCCGACCTGCCCCCCACCCACCCACCCAGTCACAGTCTTTTTGCCCCTTCATCCAGCCCCATCCGGAGCTCATCCCCTTGTCACTCAGCCCAGTAGCACAGCCTGTCTGCTCCCAATAACACCACGAGACCCCTCTCCCCCAATAACTTGGCCACTGTACCCCAAAGTCTAGCTTTTATGGCCTAATAGCCTTGTTCTGTTACCCACCCACCAGCCCCATTAACCTGGCCTGCCGTGAACCCCACCTCAGTACCAATAACCTTGATGGTCTCTTCCTCAAAATGTCGTTTCTGCCCGCCCCCCTTAATCTAGCTCAGTGCTGACCGACAGAAATATACTACAAGCTATATACTTAATGTTAAATTTTCTAGTAGCCACTTTGAAAAAGTAAAAAGCTATAGGTGAATGTAACTTTAATAATTTTATTTGACCCAATATATCAATATATGATTTCAATACCTGATCAATATAAAAATGAATGAGATGTTCAACATAATCTTTTTTAAAAACTAAGTATTGGAGATGCTGCATGCATATTCTGCCTATATGCATCTCATCTGACATTTCAAATGCTGAACAGCTGCATATGTTCAGTGACCATCTCATCAGCCGTGCAGATCTCACCCTGGTGTTCTAATACCTTGTCCCCGAACACCCAGCTGCTGTCTCCCAATAATGCATGCCTACCGCCTGCAGCCCAAACCCAGTCCAGGCCTCAATAATTTCATTCCCTGCCCCCATAACACCCCCTCCTCACCCTCTGCCACACTGTGATCCCGCACATTTCCAGTAACACCCTTAGCCAGCAATAATCCAGCCACAGTCTCTCACTAGCCCAGCTCCTGTGTGTCCCCATTGTGCTCCCAATCAAGTGCCTGTGTCCCAAGCAATCCTGCCTACTTGTACCTGGGACCTGGCCACTCCCGCGCCCCCCATCACCTAGCCCTTAGCCCCCTAGAACCAATTGCCCTGCCCACCATTAGTTAGTCCCTCCCTCCTCAGCAAACCCAGCCTCTGCCCTCAGTAACCCACTCCTACCTACCGGCGACCCCCTCACGGTGCCTGACCCACCCTCACCCTTGCTTGGGGTTCTACCCCTACCCCATGCCTAGGAAAGAGGAGGAGCGACAGAAGCAGGAGGAGCTGCAGCGGGAGAAAGAGCAGTCGGAGAAGCTGCGGACGCTGGGCTATGACGAGACCAAGCTGGCGCCCTGGCAGCGACAGATCATCCTGAAGAAGGGGGACATCGCTAAGTACTAAATGCCGCCCTCTTGCCAGCCGCCGCGCGAGCTAGGGGGACCCCACCCCCGCCCCCGCCCTGGCCTGCGCGGCCCGGGTGGAAGGGCTGGGAGCCACGCCGCGCTCCTCTCCCGAGCTCGCAAACCTCCCTGACCCCACCCCAGCGCCCGCACCCCTAGCCTCCGCACCCCCAGCCCGGGGTGGCGCTAGAGCGCGCGCGCGCCGCCGCCGCCACCACCCAGGAAAGTGCCCGAGCTGCTGACGCGAAAAGATGCTCCCTGTTTGCATGACTATTTACATACATTTGCATGTCGTTGGCCGTCGGCGTGTGCAGAGCTCTCCGCAGCCCCGGGGGTGCGACTTTGCTTCCCTGCGGGGCGCGCGGCCGGGTGCAGCCCCCTCCCCCGCACCCCGGAACCCGCGTCGCCTGCGCATCCTGGGCGGAGGCGGGCCCCGCGCTCTGGAAAGGGGTTTTCCTCCCTCCATGACCCAGATCTGTGCCCGGCTCCGCCCGGGCCGCATTTCCCATCCCCGCCAAGGGTTTCCTCTCAGTCATTTGTTTACCAGAAAAGATGAAAACTGCAAACTGCCTGTCGGGACGGAGCTGCCGCTCCCGGGCCCCCCCTCCGCCCCCCCTCCCTCCCGTTACGTCTGCGCCCCGGCCCCACCAGGCCCCCGCCAGCCCCGGACCCTTTCACCGCCTTGGTGCAGTGAGAGGACGAGGGGCCCCTGAACCTGTGTCCCCAGCTGCCGCCTCCCCGCACCCTATTAAAGCTCTCTCAGCCGCCCGGAGCCGACCTTCAATCTCACTCCCCGACGCTGCGACTTCCTCTCTCCCTCGGGGTAACTGGGCCAGGCGGGGCGGGAGCTACGAGCCTCGAGGGTCTCCAACGCGAGTGTCTGACCCTGGAGTGTCGAGACTTGCGGCTCTTTCGACGCCAAGAAACCGAGCCCAGGCTACGGAACACCCGCGCCTCGCGTTAACACCAAGCAGCAGCTTTTCTTCATTGATTTAATACCAGGGCCTCAGCCAAGATCAGGCCGAGAAACAGCTGAGCAACCTCCTGACCCCTTCCCGGTAGTCGTGGCTGCTCTCCCCTCCACCGGAACCCCGGGGGGCGCAGGGATGAGGCTGGCGCTGCTACGCAGGGCCGGGCCAGGGTCTTAATAAGTGACATAAAATGTCTACACGGGTAAGTAACCGTACTTAGGGCTTCTGCAAGGGCCAGCAGACTCTCGAGCTAGGGGGGCGGGCCGCGCTGCAGGCGGCCGCGCAGGTCCTCGGCGCAGCCATCCAGCCCCATGCGCTCCAGGGCCGCGTAGACGGCGCCCAAGCCCGCTGGCTGCTGCTGGCGCCAGCGCTTGAGCATCTCGTATTGCTGGTCGCGGAAGCGGCCGACCTCCACCTCCACAGCCTCAATCTCCGCCTCGCGCAGCCCTAGCGTGCGCACGAACTCCTTCCAGCGCCGCGCGGGCACCGCGTCCACCACGTCGTAGAGCTGCGGGCCGGGCTGGAGGACGGCAGCCACGGAGGCTGTCGGGGGCGCTGGTGATGGCGGTGGCGGTGGCGGTGGCAGGGAGCCTGGGGACGCACCAGGGAGAGCCAATGGGGAATGTGGGCTGCGGCCGAAGGGCTGCAGGGGTGGGGGGCACCAGGACAGTTAGGGAATGGAAAGTGGGCAAGTGGTGCCTCAGAAGAATGGGGCCAAGGCCTCAGACCTTGGAGGTCCCTTACCAAGAGCTCTGCTGGGCATCTGCTCCCGGAACCAGGGCGCCTCCCTGCAGAGTGCCTCCTGAGTCTGTGGGGTGCCAGGGCTCCAGCTACTGCCTACCAACTGGACAGTGCAGGCCTCCCTGCTGCTAGGTGGCACCAGAAGGTTGTGGGCACTGTCCCAAGGTGAGAGATGAGTGGCCTAGAAGCCAAGAGAGGCTTCTGGTCAGTCCTGCTTGCTTAGTGAGGACCCTTTGCTGGGTCTCTGGCCAGGAGTGGCCATTCCTGGGCACAGTAAGCAAACATCCTCCTAGGCCACCTCCCCCAGTCAGTCATGCTGTCTTGGTGGAGCCCTGGAGCCAAGCTGTGTCCTCTGTCTGGAAGACCCTGCCCTGATGCCCTCCTATTATTCCCCCTCTTAGTCCTCCTATTATCCCAGTGTAGGCCTGGCTATGGTGGCACTCACTCACTGAACCGTTAGCTCCTGCTCACCTGTCCAGACACCAAGAGACTGATGGCCGCCTGAGGACAGGCCCTGGGGCTGCTCTCATCCACTCACTCACCCCTCCCAACAGGTACCCCAGGTCTGTGTGCCAGCTGCAGAGCCATGCACTGGGGACCATGAATCATATTAAGGCCCAACCTCTCAGCTCCAAAAGGCTGAGGCCTGGGTGCCTGCTCACCTTCCTCCCAGAATAGCACTGAGATTCTCACCTGTAGGGGCGACAGGGCCTCCATCCCAGCTTCGTCTGGAGTAACAAAGAGAGTCTAATTAGCAGTCAGGCAAGGCTCCTGGGCCAGCTCCTCTTGGCATCCCTCTGCATCAGGGCTGAGTGGGCTCTGTGCTCCCACCCTAACTCCAAGCCCCTAGGAGTGTGTGTGTGCAAGCACACACATGTACACTCACCAGGAACCATGGGCTTGCAAGACTGGTGGCGGCGGTATGTGTAGGTCAGGATGGCACCAAGCAGGAGTGGGACCACCAGGCCTGCCAAGAACACCTGGACCCAGAACACTGAAAGAGCAGCTGGTGGGTGGGGGTGGTAGCCATCCCCAGCCTCCCCTGGCCCGTCCCAGCTCTCCTGCCTGCATTCCCAGCACCTACTCTGCCTCCAGCCACAGACAGCCACACAGCGCTCAGGACAGCTCCCGAGGGTGCTCCTGCAAGGAGAGGAGATGAGTGTGAGATGGGGGAGCGCTCTGCCAAGGGGCTGCCGAGGACTGCCTGACCGCTTCTCCATCTCGGAGGCACACCTGCCTACAGCGCCCCTTCCCCCTGGGAGCCTCACTCTTCCCAAGAAAGTTCCTGAAGTACTATTGAAATGTCAGGAGTCCCCAGTAACCAGTATTTACTGAGCTTCTCCTAGGCTAGACTGAGGTCACTATAATGTCAACTCCGTAAGGAATGGGATTTGCCTATTTTGTTCCCTGTTGTATCCCAGCACCTAGAACATCTCTGGAAGATGGCAGCTGTGAACCCTTGCTGAATGGATAATGAATCAAGTGCCTTACCCCTTAGTCATAGCCCTGGGGAGAAACGACTAGCATCCCCGTGCTCCATGCAGAACCACAGATCAGAGAGGTGAAGTAACTTGCCCAAGATCCCCCAAGAACAAGACACAGTTCTTGAATCTTAGCCTAGGTTTTGAAACTAGATCAATGTCTCTTTAAGTGACAAATCCTATCCTTAATGTACAGATGAAAGGACTACTAAGAGAGTGAAGATACTCCCCTTATTTATCTGGTGTAAGGTGAATCCAGATTTCCCTTTACCATTCAATGTCTGCTGAAGTGGGGCCCACCCACCACAGGGCCGAGGTCCCTCCTCCCTGCCCTCAGACCACCACTCTGATCTCAGCCTCCCCTCCCCAGCCCAGGGCAGCTAGCAGTTACGTGGGGCAGGGCACGCAGTTGTTGCCATATTCATAGAAGCCAGGCAGGCAGGTCCCACAGTCGGTGTCTCTGCTGGAACCTGCAGTCCAAGAGATGGCATGGGAGAGAGAAAGGCAGGGAGGCGAAGGGGCAGACAGCCCTCAGTGGGATACTCACAGGGCACCTGTGTGTGGCGGTGCAGGGCCCCACAGTCTTTGCACGGACGGCAGCTGAAGGGTGAGCTCTCAATGCAATGTATGACCTTGCACTCCAGGAACCAGCCTGGCTCACAGCCACAGTGGGTGTCTGCCACAGCCGAGCAGTTCTTCAAGGCCACCTGGGAGCCTGTCAGGGACAGGGGTTCAGGGAGATGGGGAGAGCAGAAGCTGTCAGGGCCAGAGACCCCCAGAGAGGTGAGACAGAGCCCCTGGAGAATGGAGATGGAGATATACCAGAGACAAAACCACCCCAAAAGGGAGAGAAGCATGGAGTTCACTGTGGACCAGAAGCTGAGAAACATGTGCAGAGATAGGAAGGTCACCAGGACGAACAGAGGCGAAAGCAACCTGGGTCAGGGTGGGTGGGTACAGGGTACAGGGCCCTCGCACACAGTTAGGTCCTAGTCATCCACTCCTCAGAGAGGTCCTGGCCACAGCCTGCCCTCAGGAGCCCCTCACCCTGCTCATCACAGGCCTGGCAGCGGGCACAGCGGCTCTCATGATGGTTCTCCCTGGCCAGGAATGTGCCCTGGGGGCACGGGAGGCAGGTGGCATGGCCACAAGGCTCTGTGCAGGGGGCCTTCAAGTAGTGCCCTGTGGAACACAGACTGGGGTCAGACAGTCTAAGGGGGTTCCAGCCTGCCTCCCTGGTGATCTCAGGCTCCCTGCTTCCCTCCCAGCCTCCCCCCACCCTCTCCCTTCCTGTCCCCAACCTGTCTTCCTGCCACATCCCTCTCACCCCTGTGGCCACTCACCTGCCGGGCAGCCCCGGCAACAGTGCAGACCATCCCTCTTTGGGAAGTTGTAGGCACAGTCACAGCTGGGGTTGGGAGCGCTGCCCTGGGCCCCCAGCAGCCGCAGAAAGAGAGCCTGGGGGACAGGTGCTACTGGCTTCTGAGTGGCCAGCCGAGGGGGGTCTGTCCCTGCCCAGTCTCCCCCACTGTATTTGCCCTCAGAGTAACCCGCTTCTCGGGTTCTCGAGCAGAAGGGGTGCCCATGGATGTGCGGTCGGAACCACTTCCTTCCCCACGTAGACCAGGTTTCAGAGACCCAGAGCAGAGGGCTTCTGCCAGCCCTCACAGGAGCCGCTCTGCGGGGCGCAGGGCACAGGGCAGGCGTCTGTCAGCCCCACCCCCACCCTTGCTTTTTATCAGGTGGAGGACCCTGATCTCTCTCTGCCCGGGGCCCCCAGACCTCTCCGGCCCCTGGGAGGGTGCTTCCTCTCAGCGGAAGGGCCCCGCCACAAGGAGCCTATAACTAGGTCGGAAGGGAGGGGTGAACCCAGTCCCCAGCCAGGCTTGGAGAAGAGGTTCTCTGGGCCCCTTCCTTCTCAGCAGGGATCCGGGCCCGAGGCTGTGCCCCCCTCATCCCCACTCACCAGAGCCACAGCCACCAAGCAGCCCCTCAGCCGAGGCTCCATGGCCCTCGGTGCCGCGCTGGCCCTCCAACAGGCAGGGCATGCTCCACCGGGGGCTTCCCCACCTCCCTGCCTCGCCTCGGCACCCAGCCAGCCCCAGGGCCCGCCCCACACGCCTGGGGGCAGGGGCGGGGCCAGGCAGGGCCCTGCGCTTCCCTGGAAGCCCAGCCCCAGGCCACCAGGCCTGCCCAGACACACCAGAGCTCACCTGAGCTCACCTGCAGTAGCCTTGGGGCAGCAAGGTGTACACAGGACAGGGCTGTGTCAGGGTCCACACGCCTGGGTACTAGCCCCAACCCTGAGACCACCGCTTCCAGGTGAATGACGACCCCTCTCTGGGCCTCAAAGTAGCCAGGTTGGGGGCCCACCCTCTCCATACTGCATGGGTGTGGGTTCAGGGGCTCCCTCCCCTGGAGGAAAGAACCCTCAGTAGAGCCTGAAACATGTCACCTACCCAGGCAGAGGTTCATGGAATGGCCTAGGACAGGGCCCTCTAAGGCGCCTCGCAGGGGAGGCACTTCGTGGTAGGCTCTAATGGCGGACCTCGGGGCTGTGGCAGGGAACGGGGCCGACCTTGGGGTGCTGGTCCTGTGACCTCTGCCCTGTTAGTTCACTAATGCTCCCCACAGTCTCTTCCGGTACAGAGGGAGAGGGCACAAAGGCACCCACCCTGGAACTCAGGAGCACCTGAGTCCCGAAAGGGGTGGCTTCCAAAAGCAAGGGCTCTTTACAGTGGAATATACACAAGTCTTTATAAAAGAATCAAAAGCTCAATAAATATGCAACTTTACACAAGCCCAACCCAGGCCTGGGGTGGCCAGCGGGACTGTGGGGAGGGGGCGGAGACAGATGAGGATGGAGGTGGGAAGGGCCCCCTGGAGCCCAGCCCAGAGGACCAGAGCTGGTGACTTCAGGGAGTAATGGACAAGGGACCCTGCCTGGGCAGAGGGTGGGGGCAGGTTAACGAAGGGGGCGACCGTCCAGGGGGTTCTGCAGCCTGGGCTGGGGCTCTGCCGAGGCCTCTTGCAGTTCCATCCAGTATGGCAAAGTGCAAATCGGGCCCTGGGGTGGTTGGTGGCAGGGATCCTGCCTGGCACTCCAGCTAGTACACACACAGGGCAGCAGCTGGAACAGGGGCTGGCATGCCCCAGGAGGCATGCTGTCTGCTGTCCCTTGATCTGTGGCACCCGTGGGGGCCTCCCTCTGCTCAGACCTCCCTGCAGGGGAAGGGAGGAGAGAGGAAGACAGTCCTTCCTTGGCTGACGCCACTCAGGGGGGCTCTGGCTACCCTCTCTCCTCACTGAGATTGGCAGGCCCCTTCACCATGGCCCACCACAGCCCACCCCCATCCCCATCTCCAAAAGCCATCTGCTTCCAGCCACGACAGCACCCCTACCCATTCCCCCAGGGCCAGCACACTGGGCCACCTGCCCTCTACCCCAGGCCAGGCCACTCACGAGGCAGTGAGCGTGGAATTAAGCAGCAGGGTGGTCCTGATTCGGTAGAGCTGGGCCAGCGTCAGCTTCCTGTGCTGGGCAGAGATCCCTGGAGGGGGCTCAGGCTGAACCCTGGGTGAGGCCCCTGAGGGCAGCCCTCTGCTCCTCCTGGTGGGCACATGGGGCTCCCCAGCTGGGCAGCTGGTTCTGCCCTCCAGCTCTGACGGCTCGAGGTCACTGCCAGGTCTTGATGCTCCCCGGTAATCCCAGTTGGGTCCTGTTTCCCGAGGGGGGCCCTGAGACTTGGCACCAGGGACTAAAGTGGCCAAGCAGAGTTCCGACAGGCTGCGGCTGGGGGCTGGGGGTGCCCCATGGCTGGTGGCCCTTGACAGCAGCTGGAGGAGGCTGGCCTCAGATTTGGATTTGAGTAGGTGGGGCAGATGGGGCAGCAGCTGGACAGGGGTGCGGCGGCGGAGGCGAGGGGAGGGTGAAAGGGCTTGTGGCAGCTCTGGAGGCCGGGGCACTGGCTCTGCCATAGGGGCTGGGGCCCCAAAGTCTTGCAGGGAGGTTGGGGAGAGGGTGCCGTAGGCGGAGTCCATGGAGCAGGAGCGGCCGTCCACGGGGCCCAGGTGCAGCAGCTCGCTGGTGGGCGTGACCAATGAGGCAGTGGTGCTGAGAGAGGTCTCGTCCGACTGGGAGCTGAAGGGGCCCCCCTCGAACTCAGGAGAGGACAGCATCTCCCCAGGCTCTACCACCACCATGGCCAGGGTCTCCGTGGAGCCATCTGAGGCACTGTGGGAGCAGGAGGAGAGCGTCAGCCCAGCCAAAGGAAACCCGGGCAGCCTGGTGCAGCCCATGCTGGGCAATGTGAGGTCTACAGCCTCTGCCTTCTGGAGCACGAGGCTCAGAGACGGCAAGCATGTGGCACATGTGCCCGATCTCCCAGCTCCTGCGCCCACAACAGACACCAGTGATGGAGTCTGTCCCCATCCCAGCATTCTCTCCTGCTGGATACAGTCTGAGAACCCTCAGCTCAGCTCCATGCAGCTACCACTAATGGCTTAGAGTTGGCACTCAACTCTGAAAAACATACGCCATCCCTGCCTGGACTGAGGGGAGACAGGGCCCTCCCTGGCACTGGGTTCATAACGTGAAGCCATTCAGAGGAAGGGGTCACGGCTGGGCCCGGGCCCGTGCCAGCGGCCTTCGGGTCAGGCGTCCTGGGGTGCTCTGGCCCACTGGGCGGCCCTGGGCAGGCGTACCCGCGCTGGGAGTTGAGACTGTTGCTGCTTTTTCGCAGGATGGTGGGGGAACTGGCAGCCGAAGTGCTACTCTCTCCTCCTTCCTCCTCCTCCTCCTCCTCCTCGTCCTGCTCATCCCCCTCCTCTTCCAGGCTCTGCAGGTGCTGCTGGCTGTCTGGCTGCTCCTGCACACGCAGCTGCTGCAGCTGGTTCTGCGGGTGGGGGGGTGCGGGGGCAGAGGGCAGAACGAGCTGGGAGGCCCACCCTCTCCATACGGCACGGGTGTGGGTTCAGGGGCAGCCCCCCTGGAGGAAAGAACCCTCAGTAGAGCCTGGAACATGTCACCTACCCTGGCAGAGGTTCATGGAGTGGCCTAGGACAGGGCCCTCTAAGGCGCCTCGCAGGGGAGGCACTTCGTGGTAGGCTCTAATGGCGGACCTCGGGGCTGTGGCAGGGAACGGGGCTGACCTTGGGGTGACCTCTGCCCTGTTAGTTCACTAATGCTCCCCACAGTCTCTTCCAGCGCAGAGGGAGGGAGCACAAAGGCACCCACCTGCCGCCTTAGGGTCAGGCATCCTTGCCCACCTGCACACCTCTCTGCTCCCACCTGGGCCACCCTGCCCACCTGCACACCTCTCTGCTCCCACCTGGGCCACCCTGCCCACCTGCACACCTCTCTGCTCCCACCTGGGCATTGTAAATGGCGTCCACCCAGCCACGGCACAAAGCCTGGCCACTGGCCTGGAACGTGTAGGCCCCCACAGCACTGTGGAACTCGTTCAGGTAGATGAGGAGGAAGGAGCCTGGTTAGGAAGGTGTCTGGTCAGTGTCGCTCAGGCCCATGGCCTCTGCCCATCACAGCCCCTGGCCAGGAGCCCCCGGCCTGCTCCTCACCAGGGTCCCGCAGCTCCCGGCACACGATCTTGTCCACCAGCAGCGGGGGCCTGATGACCTTGGTCCTCTCGGCCTTCTTCACCGCCTTGGTCACCAGGAGCAGGTCCGTGAAGAGGAAGCAGTACACGTCCATCTGGGGAGAGACCCAGGGTCAGGGCCGGGGTGCGGGGGCTTCAGGCAGGGTGACCCTCTCCTGGGGGTACTTGGACTGCCGACACCTCCTCTTCCCCCCATGAACTTGAGAGTGAAATCAACATGAAAACCAATCTCTGGATCACACGGCCCCTGGGATTAATAGCTCGGTAGCAAGGCTCCGGGCTATTCCTGGCCTGCGCATGAAGTGAGCCTCCCCCCAATCCCCAGGAACCCACACAACACTGACAGGTGGGTGAGACCACGGCCCCCCGCCAGCCCCCAAGGGCTGTGCGCCTCCTGCCACACTTGAAGACAGGCTCCAAACAGAGGATCATCCCTCCCGGGATCACAGAGTCACTAGTTCTTGAATCACCATTCCGCTGACTGGCAGCTGAGAACCCCTGCCTGGGGCCCAGGAGGTCCCCAGAGGGTGGTGCGTGCCCACAGGGCGAGGGTGGGGCAGGGGGCCCCGGCGTCACCTTGCTGTCCTTCCCCTCCTTCATCCTCAGGCTCCCCTCCAGCAGCAGCTGTCGGGTCTCCTCGGGCGAGGCACCGGTGATGGGCGCTGTCAGGTCCAGATGCAGAAACTCCTTCAGGAGCTGGGGGTGGGGGAGCACGCTGTCTGCAAGGGTGAGGGTCTGACTCCCCACCCCAGCTAGCTCTCAGGGGAGATACCCAGCATGATCCCTGTCTGCCAGTCTGGTCCCTCTCCCCTGACAGCAGGGCCAGGGACCCCGCGAAGGCACAGCCTCCCACCTTATCCACCTCGTCGTTGCTGCCCTCCACCACCTCGTAGGCGTCGATGCGGCTCACCACGGCCGCCAGCCGCTGCCGCTCCTGCCGCTGCCGCATGCACGCGTTCACGTGGTGGATGAAGCGCTCCACCGAGCCGATCTAGGGCGGGGGAAGGCGGGTTCAGGCCCAAGGCTGGGGAGGGCCCGACCGCTAGGGCGGGAACCTCGCCCGCGTCCCGGTCACCATGGTGACGACAGCCTCCTTGGCGCGCGGCTCGTCCGTCCTCCTCAGCACCGACTTGAGCAGCAGCGGGTACTTGGTGAGCCGCTGGTGGGGCTTGGCCAGCATGTCGCTCAGCTTCAGCCGCTGGCACTGCTGGTGCCTCTCGGCCCACTGTGGGGGAAGGGGAGGCCGGGGCTGGGCTCAGGGCAGGCCCCACCCGCCGCCAGCCCAGTGCCCCTGCTGCCCAGGTGGTCCCGCGGCTGGCGCCCCTGCACACCGGCCAGCCCGCCCGGCCTCACCGTGACATAGGCCCGGAAGAGGTCGTTGTCGCGCAGCAGGCCACGCATGTACTCCATGCAGCCCTCCTCCTCCATGCAGTATCGGATGTAGGGCTTGAAGAGGGAGCCGAACTGGCCGGGGCGGAACGACAGCACGGGTGACCGCGCGCTCCCCGCGGCCGCGCCCCGCTCCCGACGCTGCACGGCCCTCCCTTACTGCTACAGGCGACCACCCCGGGGGTGGCAAGCTTATCACCCGTTTCCAAACTGGGCCTCAGAGAAAGTGTCCGCCCTAGGCCAGGCAGTGAGCAGAAGGCCGGGTGGGATTTAACCTCCGCCGAACAACTCGGAATTCCTTGCCTCTGACCACGAGGAGTCGTACGGGGCCACAGTGAGGGGAAGGCGGGGGTGATGGGCAGATGGCATCGGCGCCCAGCCCTGCTTCAGTGTCCCCGCCTAGCACGTACCATCTTGAAGCCTTTGAGGAAGTCCCCGGGCTGCAGCAGCGCCTGCGTGCGCCGCGCCCTCTCCAGCGCCGGCGCCATCACGCTGCTCCACAGCCCGCGGTGCAGCCGCGCGATCTCAGGGATGTTGCTGAACAGGCGCTCCGCCT